CAAAGTCGAGATGAGTCGAGATTCGAACCCAAACTGCAGAACTGTGAGGCAGAAGTGCGATCCACACTTTGCAGTTCACATTATGTGAAGTGAATCCTTGTAACGGTCCCTCTTTCCTTTTTAAATTCTTGACACAATCTTTTCTTCTCATATTAATTCAAGTCATATAAAAGCAGCGAAGGAAACACTTTCATCAGGACGAGCAATTTGCGATCCTAATCAAAATCCTGACTTGGTCTTCAAACTGCTATTTTGCCCCTCAATTAATTTCACTCAATATGAAGACATTGCCTTCTCACTATGTGGATTTTATGACTTGAAAATACCCAATTAGTTTCTCTTTACAACATGTGATCTTCACAAGGCGGCTAATTCTTTTTGTGGAAATGTTTTGAGGGACTAGAAATCCCATTTTTAAGACAATGCTTTATTAAAACGATGCATTAAGCCGTGTGTATGCGGCAATGTTATTGAATGTCCTTGAACGTACACAGTATTTTATGTTCGTTGAATCCAATACAGGTTTTTACTCTGGAATCAAGAAATCTTGCGTTGGACCATCAATGGTTGATTAAAAACAAGCTGGGGAGAGCCCACCCACTTTTTCATAGGATTCATCCCCAGGCGACCTTGACTGCCCGAGACATTTTGAGGGAGATTAGGATTTGAGAATTCAAGAAAGGCTTTTTAGTAAGAAGTGAAGACACAAACAATATTGAAGAAGCAGAACGACCAATGACTTGTCAAAGTCTTAGCTGTTGCTCTTACAGGAACGTTAAAGTCAAGGTAGCATTTGTTCACAGGCTTTAGGGTCAGGTCTGTTCTTACGCATTTCTGGTGATTTGTGGATGTTGCATTAAAGACACTTGACTGAATTCAGGATGCGTGCTATCAGTCCCTGCGATTGGCTGGTAACCAATTCAGGGTGTCCCCCGCCTACTGCCCGAAGATAACTGGGATAGGCTCCAGTGCACCCGCGACCCTTGTGAGTATAAGCGGATTCGAGAGTTGATATCAGTCCAGGCTATGATCTTTTTGACCCAATTCTTTGGCAAAAGAAGTTTCAGAGGGCATAATAGACTCACTTGCATGAGGGAAAGTTGGACTTCCAGACTCACAGTTGGATGGAATCGGTCGCTGTCTGCTGTGGGTTATTTATCTTCTGTTTTTTCCTCCAGGCAACATCTTTGTGGTGAGTCTGTCTGTTGCGGATCTGGTGGTGGCACTGTACCCCTACCCTCTAGTCCTGACAGCCATCTTCCATGATGACTGGACCATGGGGGACCTGCACTGTCAGGCAAGTGGCTTCATCATGGGCATCAGCGTCATCGGCTCCATCTTCAACATCACGGCTATTGCCATCAACCGCTACTGCTACATCTGCCACAGCCTGCAATACGACCGCGTGTTCAGCCTGAGGAACACCTGCTGCTACCTGGGGCTGACCTGGGCTTTCACCGCCATCGCCACGGTGCCCAATTTCTTTGTGGGCTCGCTGCAGTACGATCCTCGCATCTACTCCTGCACTTTCGCTCAGACTGTTAGCTCATACTACACCGTCTCAGTGGTGGTCATCCACTTCCTGATCCCGCTACTGGTGGTGTCCTACTGCTACTTGAGGATATGGGTCCGAGTGATCCAAGTGAAGCACCGGGTGAAACCGGAGCAAAGGGCCAAACTAAAACCAAGCGACGTGAGGAACTTTCTGACTATGTTTATGGTGTTTGTGCTGTTTGCAGTTTGCTGGGCGCCATTGAACTTCATAGGCTTGGCGGTGGCAATAAACCCGGCGAAAGTCGCACCCAGCATACCCCAGTGGCTCTTTGTCACCAGCTACTTCATGGCGTACTTCAACAGCTGCCTCAACGCCATCATATACGGACTACTCAACCAAAACTTTCGAAAAGAATACAAGACAATTCTCCTTGCTGTGTGTGTCCCACGTTTGCTCCTGGTGGAAACCTCCCGATGTGCCACAGAGGGTCTCAAGAGCAAACCCTCAGTTGCTGCAACTAACAATAATGTAGCGGAGATAAATGTATAGTTGAAATGTCATCCCGAGGAAAATCCGGAATGTTGTGTTCCACCAGTGCCTTTTGACATGGCATGCATCATTTCCAAGTAGTCCCTCCATCCATTTTCTACGGCACTTGTCCTGTTCACGGTCACAACAGGCGAACCAAAGACAGACTCATCCCTGGACTGTTGGTCAGTTACGGACACGGTGTTTGTCGGAATGAATCCATAACTCTACAGCATGTGCACCATTACATAAGCAGTGATGCATTTATATCACAATTTGCAGAGTTCAACTCTTTTTGCCAGCCTTCACCGCACCCAAAAAATTATAAGCTGTGCTGGCATATTGCCCAACGTCTGGAAAACAATGTCAGTTTTTGTTTTTTGTTTTAAGCCCATCTCCGCATTTCCACATCACGTGTGCTACTGACTCACTGCATCTCTTGGTCAGATCCATTATGAACATGTCAGCAAATAAAAAAAAAAAAAAAAAAAAAAAAAAAAAAAAAAAAAAAGAAAAAGAAAGAAAATGAGTGTGTGTTTTGGTCTTGAGATGCAGCATTCGTGATAAATGAGGGGTGCTTCTCTTAAGTGCAATCCTTTATTCTTCCAATGTGGGATTCATTCAACACTTCGCTCAAATGCCAAGGATTACACACTTACTTGGAATGTAGTGGCCTAGAATACAGTATTAAAAGTGGGATGTGGAATGACTGAATGTAATACTGCTGTAAAATCTTGCCATCTATGCATATACTGGAGTTGTCAAAAACATCCTTTTTTCCACAGAGAATATGGACTTCATTAATAATAACACCGTTGGATTGTGGTGGGTCCAATCCACTAAAAAGTGTAATTCAATGTTCTAATTCGATTGTTGTATGGCATTTATGTTATCGTTGCAAACAAAATTGCTCAGGGTTTTATTTCAGACTCACCAAAAGAAAGAGCAGATGCTCGACAAAGAATGCATACAAATAAATACAAATTTAATAAACGTAATTATTAACAATCAGAGACAGAACACATGACTGACAAGGTGTCATTTCTCACGTACTCGCAAGCACACTCAGAGTAGGTACAAGTCCATGACCTTGTGCTGACCTTTTACCTTGGACTTCAAGAGCTTTGCTTAAACTATGAAGGAACATCCCTATCCGGAAGGTAAAACAACAACAAGATAATGCCCATCCATCATTTGACAACAAATGGCTAGAAGGCTAGCAAACAGCAGGGTTGAAGAAGAAAAAAAAGTTAATAAGAGGGAATATGCGAGCTGCCTTTCAGAGGTTGAGCCTTCAGGCAGCTGACAGTGACACAAAATTAGCAACATTGCTGCTGGGCAGGTGTGTTTATCACCTCTTCTATTTTTATTTAAAAATGCAACTTTAGTCATGCAAAGGAATTTGCAAACCCTAAGAAAAGCTGTAGCTGCTTTCTGGTGGTGGCTGGAAGTCCCTCCACCACCGCATGAATCTTGGACGGGTCGGCTTTCAGCTGCCCCTTTTCTATGATGAACCCAAGAAATTGAATAGAATCCACATTTCTCTGCCTTGACAAATAACTTGTTCTCAAGCAGATGTAACATGTTGCTGATTTTCCTCTAAAGAATGTGAAAATATAAGAATGTCGTCCAGATAATCAAAACAAAAATCGTTAATTAAATCCCTCAATACATCAGGCTTTGGAATACTGTGGGCGCGTTAGTGAGACCAAAGGGCGTAACAAGATATTCAAAGTAGCCCAGTGGTGTCTTGAAAGCAGTTTTCCACTCATCCCCCTCGCTGATTCTTACGAATTGGTAAGCGCTGCGTGAATCGAGTCTCGAAAATATGGTCGCAGACTGTAAAGGAGCAAATGTGGACTCGAGTAGCAGAAGAGGATACTAGTTCTGATTGTTTTGTCATTTAGACCACGATAATCGACGCCAGGTCATGAGGATTTGTCCTTCTTTTCGATAAAGAAGAAGCCAACTCCTAATGGAGACTTGGAGGGCTTGATCAGTTTGGACGCGAGGGAGCATGAGATATAATCTCGTAACGCACACACATTGCAGAGGTTCAACTCTGCACCGGCCTTCCTGTGAGGAGTTTGCATATTCTCCCTGTGCCTGCGTGGGGTTTTCTTCGGGTACTCCGGTTTCCTCCCACATTCCAAAAACATGCATGGCAGGCTGATTGAACACTCAAAATTGACCCGAGGTGTGAGTGTGAGCGCAAATGATTGTTGGTCGATTTGTGTGCCCTGCGATTGGCTGGCAACCAGTTCAGGGTGTACCCCCGTCTACTGCCCCAAGACAGCTGGGATGGGATCCAGCACACCCATGACCCTTGTGAGGATAAAGCGGATTAGAAAATGGATGGATGTTTGGCTGCTGCATTTGCCGTTTCTGGCTACAACATTTCATTCGGTAGATGCTCTCAGTTGTGCACCTCCATCCATCGTTGAACATTTATCACAAAGCCAATCATGGAAAAATTGTTGCCAAAAATGATGGCAAGTGATAACATTGAAAATATAAAATAAATAACTAGTGTAATTAGTGCGAGGTAAGGAGAAGTTCTACCACAAGCGAAAACTGATGCCTTCCACACAATTACTACAAAATAAAAGAGTAATGAAGCATTCAATGATCTTGATGGCCTTGCGACGATGCAGCTCGTCTTAGCATGCAAGCATTTCTACAGCTCTCTCACACCATTGCATTTTACAGTAGCACAAGTCTGTGCAACTGCAGTCTCCTAATGGATTTGTGCATTGGAGTTAGTGCTCCATGTGTTCTCATGCAAATAATACGTTCCTTCATGGCCCGATGGGCTTTGGGTCGCAATCGTAAAGGGAGATTTTAGGTGTCATTGGTTCAAGGATACGAATCAAAGCAGGAAATGAAAATTATTTCATCATTTGTTTTGACTTATTTTGAAATGAGTTCATATAGGTTTGTGGGGATTTTGGGTGGCAGTGGCAAAAATAATGGTCCTTGTTTCTTGAAAACAGCAAACAGATGTTATATTTTTTTATAAAGCTAAACAAACCGGTCAATGTCGGCAGGTTACCAACAAAACTACATAGATATGATGTCAGCTACTTCAATTATTTGACAAACATCAGAAAATTAAGAAAAAAAACTGGTGGAAAACCAAGATTAATAGAACACAAAGGTAGTCAATCCATCCATCCATTTTCCGATCCACTTATACTCACAAGGGTCGCGGGGGGCGGGGGGTGCTGGAGCCTATCCCAGCCGTCTTCAGGCAGTAGGTGGGGGACACCCTGAACCGGTTGCCGGCCAATCGCAGGGCACACACAGACAAACAACCATCCACGCTCACACTCACACCTCGGGACAATTGAGAGTATTCAGTCAGCCTGCCATGCATGTTTTTGGAATGTTGGAGGAAACCAGAGTACCCGGAGAAAACCCACACAGCCCTGGGGAGAACATGCAAACTCCACACAGGGAGGCCAGAGCTGGAATTGAACCCAATACTTCTGCACTGGGAGGTCGACGCACTAACCACTGGACCACCGGGCTGCCAGACAAAGGTAGTCATCTTGCTAAACCATTTGGCAATAAGCCTTGAAAGTTAGGAGGAAATCACCTGGGAAACATTTTCAAAAGCACTTATCCTCATGAGGGTTGCAACAACACACCTGATTCAAATGATCAGCTCATCAGCAAACTCTGAGAAGCCCGATAACGATCCCGATCTTTTGAATCGGGCATGTTGGAGAAGGTACACATTAAAAACAAGGACCGGAGTTGAACACCCCTGGGCTAGATACATCCAGGCTTGATCACAGACGAAGCCCACATACTCAGACAAACAACCATTCACAATTGTGAAAATTTTCTTCGACTGAACCGGCAGGAGTAGACGCACCTGTGGCTAAAGCCAAACTGTGCTAAAGTCAAACTGTGCTTTCGACACAAGTGCTTTCACTCAACCGGGAGGAGTAGACGCACCTGTGGGCAGTGCCAAAGCGTGACGGGGTTTTTACCTTCTGGACCTGGATTTGCCACCTTTGCTAGTTTATAATGTTCCACTCCTCTGGGGTTATTGACATGGACAAGCCTGTTGTTTCTGACTGACATCCGAAATAAGATGGCAAACGTCATAGGGGTACAACTTTCCATCTCACAGTCCTTCACAAACAAAGTTTAAATTCGGTGGCGTATGCGCAGCTGCCTTTCTATTTATATTATAATTTTATCCGAACTCACTCAGGACATGTTTGAACCAAACAACAGGTGTAGCATGCGTAGCCTCATTTGACTGCAAGCACAGAAGAAATGAAGAATGCAAAAGGGCATCGCTGAGGTTTCCACGCAGAAGGAACCATGGGAAATCCTACTCTCAAGGTCAGAGATGCCAAGCCAAGAGGGAAGCCAATCCATTATTGCATTTCCAATTCTATACACTCTAATTCCGTTGAGAATATGACCTCTTATTAAGCTCCTATTTTTGACGTGGTTGTTTTATTAAAATTCCTAATCCCCCCATAAAGGGGGTGATCATCTGGCCGGAGACAGTTGCAGCTGCTTTTCTCAAAACTCAATGCAACAAACCATCGTGTGCAAGTGCATGTCACTTTTTTCAAGTGTTTACAAAGAAAATACAAGGCCAATAGTTTCAGGGGATGTTATTTTCCTTTGCAGTAAAAACTATAGTTGACGTGTTGATGAAAATGTGTTTGTTTTTATACTTGTGGGAGATGTCAGTCGGAAAAGCTTTTTGTTAGATGAGAGGATTTGATAAGTTCACATTACTGTTTATCCCAAAGTGACTCTGATAAAGCTTGTACAGTGGAAATTCCAGATTCAGATGACCCAAAACTCAGAGAGTTGGTTTGGTGACGTCACCTCCGAAGGCTACCAAAGATGGTGAAGTGTCAAAATGAGACAATAAAAGGTTATTATAGTTAACAAAATAACAAATACTAAAATGAAAAAAAAAACCATTTCCATGAACAAAATAAAATACAAACAAAAATGCTTTAAAATAAATTCATAAATAAATATCCAGGACATTTTTGAGACGCAGGACCAAAAGTTTTTAAAAAGCGTGGACTAAGAAAGGACAGAAGTGTTTTTTTCATCCGTCCCTTTAATCATCCCGAACCGGGTTAAGTTTGTGGTGTCAGGAGGCATAATAACAAGGCCAGAGTGTGGCCAATCACTGTATTTTCTTAACAGGCTATTTAACAGCATCATCTCAACAGTATTTTTCTAGCAACACTGTCACCTACTGTACAGTCAGAGAACATAAGAAAGTACCGACAGACAACCATTTCTAACGATCAATCCAGCCGGTTAAAAAAGTTGGCTGTGTTGTATGTCTCTCGGTACCTCCCAACAAAGATGCAAATGCCATTTGATTGATTATCTGCAACAGCCAATCACGGCGTTACTGAAAATAATGCTTGATAGGCAGGCTTTCGCGCAATAAATCCATCAATGTTTGCATGTAAAAATCCTGC